CAAAGCAGGAAAGAATGTCCAATCGAAAAAAGAAGGCCTCTTCAATAAATGGTGTTGGGAAAATTGGACAGCCACATGCAGAAAAATGAAATTGGATCATCTCCTTACACCACACACGAAAGTAGACTCAAAATGGATGAAGGACCTCAAGTGAGAAAGGAATCCATCAAAATCCTTGAGGAAAACACAGGCAGCAACCTCTTCGACCTCAGCCGCAGCAACTTCTTCCTAGGAACATCGCCAAAGGCAAGGGAAGCAAGGGCAAAAATGAACTATTTGGGATTTTATCAAGATCAAAGCTTTTGCACAGCAAAGGAAACAGTTAACAAAACCAAAAGACAACTGACAGAATGGGAGAAGATATTTGCAAATGACATATCAGATAAAGGGCTAGTGTCCAAAACCTATAAAGAACTTAGCAAACTCAACACCCAAAGAACAAATAACCCAATCAAGAAATGGGCAGAAGACATGAACAGACATTTCTGCAAAGAAGACATCCAGATGGCCAACAGACACATGAAAAAGTGCTCCATATCACTCGGCATCAGGGAAATACAAATCAAAACCACAATGAGATATCACCTCACACCAGTCAGAATGGCTAAAATTAACAAGTCGGGAAACGACAGATGCTGGTGAGGATGCGGAGAAAGGGGAACACTCCTACACTGTTGGTGGGAATGCAAGCTGGTGCAACCACTCTGGAAAATAGCATGGAGGTTCCTCAAAATGTTGAAAATAGAGCTACCCTATGACCCAGCAATTGCACTACTGGGTATTTACCCTAAAGATACAAATGTAGTGATCCGAAGGGGCACGTGTTCCCGAATGTTTATAGCAGCAATGTCTACAATAGCCAAACTATGGAAAGAACCTAGATGTCCATCAAGAGATGAATGGATAAAGAAGGTGTGGTATATATACACAATGGAATACTATGCAGCCATCAAAAGAAATGAAATCTTGCCATTTGCGATGACGTGGATGGAACTAGAGGGTATCATGCTTAGCGAAATAAGTCAATCAGAGAAAGACAACTATCATATGATCTCCCTGATATGAGGGAGAGGAGATGCAACATGTGGGGTTAAGGGGGTAGGAGAAGAGTAAATGAAACAAGATGGGATTGGGAGGGAGACAAACCATAAGTGACTCTTAATCTCACAAAACAAACTGAGGGTTGATGGGGGGAGGTGGGTTGGGAGGGGGGTGTGGGATTATGGACATTGGGGAGGGTATGTGCTATGGTGAGTGCTGTGAAGTGTGTAAACCTGGCGATTCACAGACCTGTACCCCTGGGGATAAAAATATATGTTTATAAAAAATAAAATTAAAAGAAAACCTTTGCCATTTCAAATTTCCTATCACTCTTGCCACCTACCTCCTTCCCTCAAATTAGCCGCATTCCTGACTTAAAATAATGAACTCACTCTTGCATGTCATTGTACCTTTATTCCCCAAATAGTTACCTCTCAGCACTACAGTTTGTACATTTTTAAATTTAAATTTTTTACTAGGAAAAAAATACATGTATTTCTGTGTGTATTGCAGTTGGAGTTAATTTTGTTACTGGTTTGAGGAACGGATCACAGTTAGTCTTTGTACATATTTATATCCAGTTGTTTCATCACCATCTGTGAAAAGACTGTTCTTTCTCCACTGGAGTGCCTTTGCACCTCTGTAAAAAATCATTTGGCAAATCAACTGGCAATCAATAAATATAGTAATAAACATGTGACTCTCTATACTCTTTTTTACTTAGGTCTTTTACTTAGGTCTTTTAAAGTTTTTCTCAGCAGAATATTACCATTTTCCTTATATACTTCTGGTTCATATTTTGTCAGAAGTACCCTTAAATATTTCACATTTTTGGTGCTATTTCAAATTTAATTTAATTTATTTATTTTAAATATTTTTAATTATTTATTTGACAGAAAGAGAGAGAGAGAGAGAGATCACAAGCAGGCAGAAAGAGAGGGGAAGCAGGCTCCCCGCCAAGCAGAGAGCCCGATGCCAGGCTCAATCCCAGGACCCTGAGATCATGACCTGAGCTGAAGGCAGAGGTTTACCCCACTGAGCCACCCAGGGTGCCCCTCAAATTTTATTTTTGATTTTATTTCTACATTATTTGTTACTAGTATATGGAATATAATTAATTTTCATTTATTGTTTTTATATTCTTAAATTTGTTTGTTTTACAAAAACTCCTGTGATACTTTAAGATTATTTTGAATTTATAGATCCATTTACAGAGAACTGACCCAACAATAGTGTATTGCCTGAATTTATTTTGGTCTTTTAAAATTTTTCTCATCAAAGTTATATAGTTTTCTACCTCTATATTTTGTACATACTTTTCAGCTTTATCCCTAAGTATTTTATATTTTTGATGCTGCTGTAAATGTTATTTCGTGGCTTCATTTTGGTTTTTGGATTGTTCATTGTTCGTATATGGAAACACAGTAAGTTTTTGCATATGAATTTGTATCCTAAAGTTTTACTAAATCACTTTTTTTTAAAAGATTTTATTTATTTATTTGACAGAGATCACAAGCAGGCAGAGAGAGAAAGAGAGAGAGAAGTAGGCTCCCCGCTGAGCAAAGAGCCTGGTATGGGGCTTGATCCTAGGACCCTGAGATCATGACCTGAGTTGCAGGCAGAGGCTTAACCCACTGAGCCACCCAGGTGGCCCCTTACTAAATCTCTTTTATTTACTATAGGTAAACGATAAATGATTGTGTCTTCAGCAAATCAAAACAGTTTACTTCCTCCTTTCTTTCTTTCTTTTCCTTCCTTTCTTCCCTCCCTCCTTTCTTTCTTTCTTTCCTTCTTTCTTTCTTTCTTCCTTCCTTCCTTCCTTCCTTCCTTCCTTCCTTCCTTCCTTCCTTCCTTTCTTTCTTTCTTTCTTTCTTTCTTTCTTTCTTTCTTTCTTTCTTTCGCCCTTATGGTAATGGCTATAATTTCAAGTAAAAGTAGAAGTGGTGGCAGTGGACATCATTGCTTTGTTCCTGATATTTAGGAAAGGTATTCAGTTTTTTAACCACAAATATGACATTAGCTGTAGGTTTTTTGGTAGATATTTCCATCAACTTCAGAAAGTTTCCTTATGTTCCTACTTTCCTGAGTTTTATCAGGAATATATATCAGATTTTTTTCAAATACTTTCCCTGCATTTATCGAGGTGATCATATGATTTTATTTTTAGTCAAATAATACAGTGGATTAGCCTGATTAATTTTTTTAATGTTAAATTTGCCTTACATTCCTAGGATAAACCTCGTTTGGTCACAACGCATTATTCTTATGCATTGTAAAATTCAGTTGACTAAAATTTAATATTTATGCATTTATATTTATTAGAATTATTGACAAATAGTTTTTGTTGTTGTTGTTGTATTGTCTTTCTCTAGGTAGATAACAGAAAAATGCTGTCCTTATAAAAGGAGTTGGGAAGTGTCCATTCTCCCCCATTTTTTGGAAAAGTTTATATAGAACTAATATTATTTCATCATTATATGTTTGGTAGAATTCACCATTTTTTTGTGGAAAGGTTTTTACTACAAAGTCAGTTTTCTCTGTTATATACAGAGCTATTCAGTTTATCTATTTCTTCATGAATAAGCTTTGTGATTGGCAACTTTCAAAAAATTACACTGTCAAATATATTAAAATAAAAATTTTCCAAATTAATCTCCATATGCAAAATATTGTCAATTTAATAAGATATACTCTCCTGAGATTTCACCTTTATGATTCCTGATAGTCATGCTGACTCACTTACATTTTTCTGCTCAGTCTGACTGGACGTTTATAAGATCTATTAATTTATAGAAAATAGCTTTTGCTTTTATTGTTTTCTTCTGTGATTTTTGTTTTGTTTTGTTTTCACTTTCATTGGTACCCAGTACTTGTTATTTTCCTGTCCTCTACTTGCATGGAGCTTTGCTATTCTTCTTCTTCTTTTTTTTTTTTTTTCTTCTTTTTTGGCTTCTTAAAATAAAAACTGATATCATTGCTCTCATACCTTACTTCTTTTCTAACATAAGCATTTAGTGCTATAAACTTTCCTTTAATTACTGACTTCACTACTTCCCACAAATTCTGGTAGGTTTTGTTTCCTTTTCCTTTAAAGTATTTTTTGTTCTCCTTTTTGAGTTTTTATTTGACCCAAGTGTTTTTAGAATTTGTTATTAAATTTTCAATTGGGGATTTTCCCAATATATTTGTTACTGATTTTTTTTAAAAGATTTTATTTATTCATCTGACAGACAGAGATCACAAATAGGCAGATAGGCAGGCAGAGAGAGAGGAAGGGAAGCAGGCTCCCTGCTGAGCAGAGAGCCCGATCCAATCCGGGGATGTGGGGCTCAATCTCTGAGATCATGACCTGAGCCAAAGGCAGAGGCTTAACCCACTGAGCCACCCAGGCGCTCCTTGTTATTGATTTTTAATAAAATTTTATTTTGAGAGCATATTTTGTATGACCCCAACTCTTAAATTTGTTGACTTGTTTTATGTCCCCAGGTTCCTGGGTGGCTCAGTCATTTAAGGGTCTGCTTTCAGCTCAGGTCATGATCCCTGGGTCCTGGAATTGAGCCTGGCATCTGGCTTCCTGCTCAGTGGGGGGTCTGCTTCTCCCTCTCCCTTTGCCCCTTCTCCCTGCTGGTGCTGTCTCTCAAATAGATAAATAAAATCTTAAAAAAAAAAAAAAAGACTTGTTTTATGTCCCAAAATAAATTTGTGTATGTGAATTTTTCCAATAGTGCACAAATCAATATTTTGTTTAACTAATATATGCTGCTCTGAAATAGAGTCTTGGTTTGCTTGTGTCCTGTCATCCTTTCTTTCCCCACATGTAGACTGAAGGCTCCATTGGTGTGGAATTATGTTAAACTGTTGTTTTCTTGTCACTTATCTTAGGGCTAGTTCCACTTCAAATACACATGCAACTGCTTTTTAAGTCAATTCATTAACTATTGCAAATGACACTTGCTTACATGAAGGGGATGAATATCAGGGAAAATTGGCTCAGTTCTTGTCTGTTGCTCATCACCAAAGTATCCTTTATTCTCCACTCCCAATGTATCTCTAAGTGGGCTGTCAAGAAGGAAATTGGATATTGACATAAGGGATAGGATAAGTCTGTGGTTAATATTTAATCATCTAGGAGATTTCTAAAAGATTCATACTCAGGTTACACTCTGTAACAAATCTGAGGTAGGAACTAAAATTAGCATTCTTTTCAGAACTCTCTGATTCCAATGTGCAGTGAAGTTTGGGTGGGACCCATTGGGATAAGCATTTGGAGATGAGAACATAAAAATGTTAATTTTTCAATTTACTGTTACTCTTACTTTGTCCTTAGTAAGAGGCTTATACTTCTACCCTCTAGAGTTCCATCATCTGTGGTGACAAAGCTTATATCTTCCCAGTAATGGTCCCATTACAACATATAGAAAATACATACCTCTGAATTCGCTTCAACTTAATACATTTTTGGTGATGAATTAATAATACAACTACCCCAACACCAATAATAACCAGGACAAGCACAACAACCAGGATGGATATATCTGCAATATTAAAAAAAAAACAACAAGTTTTAGCCAGGACATCAACTTTAGGACAGTGGAATATTAACTGAGCTGTTATAATCCAGCTTCTCCCTTCCTTAAGGACTTTAATTCCTCCCAACTCCAATTTTTTAAAAAAATGTAAAGCAAAAGACAAAGGCATACAGAAATTATTATCTGTATTAGCTATTGACAGTCCACCCAAGAGTCCATTATGTTTAAGAACCACAATCAGCAGGAAATGTTTTGACTGTCAGTTATTATTAACTGACTATAGAAAAGGCCTTGTTGTGTTATGGGTTCTTAGAAGAACTAACCCAAATTTAACTAGAAGAAGATATATTAATTCTAAAAGGTAATTGTTGTAAATTCAAATTTGGGTATTTAAATATGTGAAATAACTAAAATACCATGCAAATCCACACAGAAATACAACATATACATATTAGATTTCAGAAATAAGGTGGAAAGCTTTCTTCCTGTCTAAGCTTTTGATATATGCAAGATATTATATTCTAGGATGCTCACAGGTAACATTTAGGTTTTTTCCCCAATCCACATGTTTCTGTTCTTCCTCGCATTGGCACTCAAGTTCATGGTCATCCACCTGGAAGATCAGTCATAATTTTATCAAATTATGTGTGTGTGTTGCACCTAACTTTGCTTAGTTTTATATCACACACACAGATGCACTCACACATACATTCATTCTTTTACTGATTAATTAACTAAACTGCATATCAGAATCAACCTTTGATAAAAAATAAGCAAACAAAACTAAAAGATGCAACCACTTTTGAAGATGGCCTTTGGGCATGAAAATGATTCCAACAAATTCAAAACCAGGTAAACAAGATGGTTTGACTTCTCTTTCTAGAAGGCCTCAATCTTATTAAAGGAACAGCCCTGCTAGAGTTACACATAGTATTGGGCAGTGTTAATTGAGGATACACACACACACACACACACACACACACACACACACACACATAATTGAGAAGAGAGAGAGATATGTATATAAATACATATAAATATATATGTATATTTATATATATATTTTATATGTATATATATTACATGTAATTATATGTGCATTTATGTGTGTGTATGTGTGTGTATATATATCCTATAGGAAATATAGGATAAGAAAAAGGAAATTCTTTTCCAACTCTCTCTCTCTCTATATATATATATATTATATGTCTATATATTTTAAATATATATGTATATATAAATATATATAATGTACATATATATATAATTTTTTGTTGTTTTGTGAAAAGCTTTAGATTAATGTTGACATTGGTATAATTTAACTATAAGTGACATGATAAACCCAACTTTAAACATTAGGTTTAAATTTCATAGGTACATAAGTTACTGGATTTCTAGATTACCAGTCCAATGATAAAATATATACATACAATATAGGCAATATCTATGTGTAATACTGGTTTGGGTCTTTAGATCAATTTTATGGAAGATACATGAAAAAATGGATCCCAAATATATATTTGATTTAAAAATCACCACACACACGCATGCACACACAAACACCATGCCCAGAAATGAAGTCCTATGTAAATAAACAACTGTCAAGACATTAATTTTAAAAAGAGTCAAATCTTACAGCATTTTCATCACATTGAGAAGAGCAATTGGTTGAGTTGTAGACCTTTTCAAGTTCCACACATTCACCATTGCTGCACACCTGGAAATGAAGTTACCCATATGAATTAATAACTTGCTCTTAGAATTTACATGATTTTTTCTGCTGTAAATGACCACATATAGAATCTTTGTAGAAGAAGAAATCTTCCATATATGTTTGACAGATATCTGAAATGAATATAGTATACATTCAAATACTGTTCTATGCAAACTCCTAATTAAAATGTCTATATCCTTCCTAATTTTTCAAATATTAATCTATCAAAGATTCTATAACCATAAGTACAATTTCTTTTATCATTTGTATTGTTTTATTTTGATTTGATAATGTTCCATGCTTGCTGTATCAATTAATCTTATTTATGCTTTATTAACTCTGTTTTAAATTTTGCTTTTTATTTTTTTTACATTTTATAACCAAATTATAGTTGTTTTTGTTGCTTATAATTATTACCTGGCTTATCTTCATTCATTTATTTAATTTCTACCTGTTATTTTTATTTTTACCCACTTCTTTTAAAAAGCACTTAAAAGGAAATGCTTTTCCAACTCTATTGAGGTATAATAGACAAAAATTGTATACTTTAGAGTACATATTATGATGGTTTGTTATACTTACACATTGTGAAATATGAAACAACCTAATGAACACATCCATTACCTTAAACAGTTACTTTTTTGTGGTTGGAATACTTAAAGTTTACTCTCTTAGAAAGTTTTAAGTATATATTACAGTATCTAACTATAGCCACCAAGATCTACACTAGCTCCTCAGAATTTACTGAGAACATAGTTTATACTCGTTGACCAACATCTCCCCATTTCCCCCACCTGGCAACCATCATTCAACTCTCCGTTTGTGGCTTTTACTTCTTTTTTTTTAGTTTCCACATATAAGTGAGATCATACAGTATTTGCTTTTTTGTGACTTGTTTATTTTTGTTAGCATGCATGAAATGTCCTCCAAGTTCGTCCACATTATTGCCACTGACATAATTTCCTTCTTTTTTTTAAACTAAATAATATTATATATTACATATTTTCATTATCTTTTCACCTGTCAAAGGACATTTAGATTGTTCCCATATCTTGGCTCTTGCAAATATTGTAAATAATGGTGCAATGAGCATGGAAGTACAGATACCTCTTCAAAATCTGATTTCAACTTCTTTAGGTTCTGTGTCCAAAAGTGAGATTCCTGGAGCATAGGGTAGTTCTATCTTTAATTTTTTAAAGAACCACCATACAGTTTCTATAATGGCTATGCCAATTTATATTCCCACCAACAGTGCACAAGGGTATTCAAAAAAGAGTACCCCACATCCTCTCCAACATTTTTTATTTGTTGTTTTTTGATAACAACCAAACTAAAAGGTGTGGGGTAATACCTCATAGTGGCTTTGATTTTCATTCCCTTGAATATTAATGATGTTGAACTCCTTTTCATTTACTTGTGGGTCAGTTGTATAAATATCCAAACAAGTCCTTTGCTCATTTTTTTTTTAATTGGACTATTTGGGGTTTTATTGCTATTGGTTGTATGAACTACTTTTAACTTTTATCTATTAACCCTTTATCAGATATGTGGCCTGCAAATATTTTTCACATTCCATTGATTGCTTTTTCATTTTCTTAATTGTAGCCATTGCTGAAGAAATCTTTACTTTGATATAGTCTCACTTATTTATTTTTGCCTTTTGGCCTGTGCTTTTTTTGTCATATACAAAACATCCAATCCTGGGCTTTTCTTTGTTGGAAAGTTATTAATTATTGTTCTGATTTCCTATTTGTTCAGATGTTCTATTTCTTCATCATTTAGTCTTGGTACATTGTATGCTTCTCAGAATTTATCCATTTCTTTTAGATACTCAACTTGTATAATTATTTATAGTATTTTCTTATAATCCTTTTATTTCTGTGATATCAGTTGTAATTCTCCTGTCATTTATAATCTTCTTTTTTTTTTTTTTTTTGTTAATCATCCCCCTTTGTTTATTGGTTAGTCTACTTAAAAGTTTGTCAACTCTGTTTACCTTCTATAAATTAAAACAATTTCCTTAATCTTTCCTGTTTTTCTTGTTTCATTTATTTCTGCTCTAAAAATCTTTATTTCCTTATTTCTCCTAACTTTGGGCTTAGTTTTCTTCTTCTTTTTCTAGTTCCTTGAAGCATAACATTATGTTGTTTACTTGAAATTTTTCTTTTTTCTTAATGTAGGCTTTATTGTTATATACTTCCCTCTTCGAAATGGTTTTGCTGCATTTTTAAGTTTGCTATGTAGTGTTTCCACTTTCCTTTGTCTTGGATATTTTTTGGCTGCCCTGTCAATCTCTTCTTTATTCATTTGTTTTTCAGGAATCTATTTTTCAATTTCTAAATATTTGTGAATTTTCCAAAGTTCTTCCTGTTTTGATATCTAATTTTCTACTACTGTGGTCAGAAAAAATATTTGATATTATTTCAGTCTTCTTAAATATGTTGAGACTGTTTTGTCGGCCAACATATGATCTATCCCAGAGAATATTCCAAGTACACTTGAAAAAAATGTGTTTTCTATGATTGCTGAATGAAATATTCTGTATGTATCTGTTAGGTCCATTTGGTCTATAGAGTTATTCAAGCACATTGTATTCTTTTTGATTTTATGTGTAGATAATTTATCCATTGTTGAAAGTGGGGCATTAAAGTCCCATACTATTGTATTGTATTTCTCCTTCCTGTTTATATTTTCTGTGTATATTTTCTTTATATATTTAGATCCTCCAATGTTAGGTGCATTTCATATGTACTTAGAATTATTATATCCTCTTGATGAATTGAGCCCATTATCATCATATAGTGATCATTTTTGTTTCTTGTGACAGTTATGATTGAAAATGTATTTTTTCTGATATAAATATGGCCACACTGTTCTCTGTTGCCATTTTCATGCAATATTTTTTATCCTTTACTTTAAGCCTGTGTCCCTTAACGTACCATGAGTGTTTTGTAGGCCATATATTGTTGGATACTGGTTGTTGATGTTGTTTTTTAAACCAACACCCAGTCTGTGTCTTTTGAATAGATAAATCTAGATTTAATGCAATTATTGATAGTTAAAAACTTACTGTTTTCATTGTTAGTTGCTTTCTGAATGCTTTATAGCGTCTTTGATCCTTTCTTCCTCTCCTCCTCTCTTCTTTTGTTCTTTGTTAATTTTTTGTAGTGGTACATTTTGATGTTTTTTTCTCTTTATCTTTTGTGTATCTACTAGAGATTTCTTTTTTTAATCATTGGCATAATTTTACTTCTCTTCCCTCCATAGTTCATGCTGTTGATATCACATTTTGCTTGTCTTTATATTGTGTACCCAGTATCAAATTATTGTAGCTATAGTTATTTTTAATATTCTTGTCTTTTAACTTTTATATTAGAGTTAAAATACATTTATACACTATCTTCACAGTATTAAAGCATTTTGAATTTGACTATTTACCTTTACTAATGACTATTATAGTACAAATGTTTCATGCTGTTACTTAGCATCCTCCCTTTCAACTTTAACATTATTTATAAGGCAGGTATAGTGGTGATGAACTCCTTCAGCTTTTATTTAAGGACGTCTTTAATTCTCTTTCATTTCTGAAACATAGCTGTGTTAGATATAGCACTGTTAGCAGGGCTTTCTTTGTTTTGTATGTTTATATGTTTTGTTTTGTACTTTGAGTACATCATCACACTCTCTCTTGGCCTGCGAGACTTCTACTGAGAAGTTTATTAATAGTTTTATAATATTCCTTCTTATATGATGAGTTGCTTTTCTCTTGTTTTCTAAGTTCTCTTCCTGTCTTTGACTTTTGACAGTTGGTTTATAATGTATCTCTGGATACTCTTTGGACTGGTCTCACGTGGGGTCTTTTGAGCTTTCAGAATCTAAATGTAGATATCCTTCCCGGTATTTGGCAAATTTTCAGCCATTATTTTTAAAAGTAAGGGGATAAAAAGGTATTATATGTTTTTGAAAAATAAAATTAAAAAAAAAAAATAAAAATAAAAAAATAAAAGTAATTTTTATTCCCCTCTCTTTCTCTTTCTTTTCTCCTCCTGGGACACACATAATGCATACATTTATTTTTTGTCATTGGTGTCATATAGGTTCCATATGCTTTCTTCACTAGTTTTTATTCTTTTTTCTTTTGTTTCTCCAACTTTCTAATTTCAAGTGACTTATTTTTAAGATTGCTGACTTTTTTCTTCAGAATGATCCAGTCTGCTGTTGAAGCTTTCCATTGACTTTTTCATTTCTATAATGTATTTTTCAGCTCCAATATTTCTGTTTCACATTTTTTATGGTTTTTATTTCTTTGTTAAACTTATGTTTTTCATGCTTTGCTTTCTTGATTCCATTTAGTCATCTATTTGTGTTCCCTTGCATCCTTTTGAACTTCTTTAAAATGGTTACTTTGAATTTGTTGTCATCTCCATTTCTTTGGGATCAGTTGCTAGAGCTTTATGAGTTTTCTTCAGATGATATTATGTTTGCCTGAATCTTTGTGGTCTATGTACTATTGCATTGGTGTCTGTGCATTTCAAGGAGCAGACATCATTTCCAGACTTTACAGATTGATTTTATCGGGTAAAAGCCTCCTGTTGTATCCCTTGGGCTGGTGTGATTGCTTCCAGGATTACAGTTGAGTGAGACTAGGACCAGGTTATGTGGCTGTCATCTGGTCTGTAGTAGGATCTGCAGTTTACTGGTCTGTGAATAGGGATTTGGGTAAATGTGGATTCTGCATGGTACCTGGGGACTGAGACAGGACTGTCTCTGTGACCTTGGTCAAGTGGACTGGCACTGTAACAAGGGTCTACCATAGCATCTGAATCAGATGGCTGGCTTGTTTCTAGGTGCATGAATGGGTGTATCTCTTATTGGGTCCTTGGCTTCTGTTGGGACATTGAGCAAGGTGCCTCTGGGTGCATAGACCGACATGTTTCCTGGAAGTTCTGTGGGCAGGAAGATTGTCTAGAGCTGCACTTGGGAAGGAAGGAAAAGAATGAAGTGTCACAGCCACTTCAGGATCTGTGTTTGGACCAAGATCTGCAGGTCTGCCTCCAGGGATATGGATAGATGTGTCTTCCAGTAGGTGACTAGGCAGATGTTCTTGTTGGTGATACCAAAGCCAAATGGGGCTGTTTCCAAGCAACAGGAGATGTGGGTGTTTATGGGTCTGTAGCCAGGACTATGGTCAATAAGCTCATCACCTAGGCATGGGCCTGCTTTCTCAAAACAAATCTTTGGTCTTTGACACCACCAATGTTTTGCAAGATCCTCCCTGGATTTTAAAGTTCTGACAAAGGTACTTTTTCCATGGCTTGCTACCAAATTATTGTTGCTGTGGGGAGATATTACTGGAACACCTCTCATTCCATTACTTTAACATTTTAAATAGGGAAATTTTAATCCATTTATATTTATTATGATAAGATGTGTTTAATTTTACTCTTTTCATCTTTTTATATGATTTTAAATGTTAGACATTTTAGTTTATCTTTTTTATCTTTATTATTTTTTCTCCAATTATTTGAAAGCTATATGTTTTGTTTTTTAACATTGATTCGGCTTACATTAAAATATTTAAATCTAAATTATTTCATCATTTTTTTTTTAAAGTTTTTTTATTTATTTGACAGAGAGAGAGGGAGAGATCACAAGCAGGCAGAGAGAGAGGGAAGCAGGCTCCCCGCTGAGCAGAGAGCCCGATGCGGGGCTCGATCCCAGGACCCTGAGACCATGACCTGAGCCGAAGGCAGCAGCTTAACCCACTGAGCCACCCAGGCACCCTATTTCATCATTTTTAAGATCAAATACGCATTAACTTTTCATTATGTAAGATAAGACATTTGTCACATTTTTTATTTTTCTTCTTCTTTTTCTTAATTCATATATTTGAGAAAATTGAAATTTATAAAGATCATTATTATTCAGTATTCAATATTTTTAAATTCATAATAAACACATTAATAATATAAATTACTAGAATTTACTCAAAATTAGTATAGATTTTCTTGCTTGCAACAATTTCCTTAATAGTCCATCTTCTCATTTAACTGTTTAGTTTAATTCATTTCCCAGTTGACCAGAGTACTTTCTTAACTATTTTTTTTTCATATTTATTTATTTATTTTATTAAACTATAATGTATTATTTGTTTCAGGGGTACAGGTCTGTGATTCATGAGTCTTACACAATTCACAGCACTCACCATAGTATATATTCTCCCCAATGTCCATCACCCAGCCACCCCATCCTTCGCACTCCCCTCCCCTCCAGCAACCCTGAGTTTGTTTCCTGAGATTAACAGTCTCTTAAGGTTTGTCTCCCTCTCTGGTTTCATCTTGTTTCATTTTTCCCTCCCTTCCCCTATGATCCTCTGTCTTGTTTCTCAAGTTCTTCATATCAGTGAGATCATATGATAATTGTCTTTCTCTGATTGACTTGTTTCACTTAGCATAGTACCGTCTAGTTCCATCCACATCATTGCAAATAAATGCTGTCTAATTTACTGTAGTTTTTTTTTTTTTAAGTTATAAAGTGTGTGAGGATGTCATTCTATTGCTTTACTATATGAATAATAATTTGGATGTATGTACAGTTTTGGGGTCCCAATACTTCCATTCTCCAAAGGTCCATAGATTTTGCTACATTATCTTATGGCATTTCTTTCTGAAGATAAATAAAATGATAACCTGAAAACTTTGTTGTCATTGTTGTTGTTGAAAACTTATACTTGCCTTCTTTGGTGCTTATAGAACATTTTCTTTATTGTTGACTTCATGCTGTAAAGGTTAGTCTTATGCTCATCTTTCTATGAATTTTTCTTACTAAGTTGAGTTTTTATTTTATACATTCTTCAATTCAGAGGTTTTTTTTAAAAATTATACCTTTAATTACACTTTTACCTATATTATGTTTTTTTTATCTGGGATTCCTATTAAAACTGTATCAGATTGAGCACCTGGGTGGCTCAGTTGGTTAAGCGACTCCTTCAGCTCAGGTCATGATCCCAGGGTCCCAGAATCGAATCCCGCATCAGGCTCCCAGCTCCGCAGGGAGTCTGCTTCTCCCTCTAACCTTCTACCCTCCTGTGTTCTCCCTTACTTGCTCTCTCTCTCAAACAAATAAATAAATAAATAAATAAAACCTTAAAAAAATTGTATCAAATTTATTAGGACTATTTTTCCTTTTTTT